AGTACATGTGAGCTATATAATATCAACTTATGTAAAGATTTCAAGCTGGATATGGTGGCACATGACTTTAATACTAGCCACTCAAAAGGCTGGGCAGGAAAACCAAAAGTCTAAGGCCATCTTGGTAAACCTAGAGTGTTTTTTTTTCTTAAAATAAGATAGAAAGTTAATGAGTACATTTCTTATCAAGCATTGTTGCCTCCTCCTTTTCTTGCTCATGTGATTGTAACCCCTCTGTACAGTATTTTCACAATAAAAACTTAAATAAATAACTAAAACATAAAATAAGATAGAAAAGGGGTTGAAGAATAATAATTGAATGGGAAAGCACTTGCTTAGTATATGCAAAGGCCTAGGTTCAATTCCTACTAGTATAAGAAAAATTTAAAGTTTACCATTGGCTCACAACTGTAATCTTAGCTACTCAGAAAGGCTGAGATGTGAGAATTGTGGTTTTAAGGCAGCCCAGGCAGGCAGCTCTGTGAGACACTTATCTCCAATTAGCAAAAAGCTACAAGTAGAGCTGTGGCTCAAGTGATAAAACTCTAGCCTTGAGAAACAAAATACTAAGGGTCAGTGGCCCTGACCTGAGTTGAAGCCCCATGGCATACACACACACACACACACACACACAGAGAGAGAGACAGAGACAGAGACAGAGACAGAGAGACAGAGAGAGACAGAGACAGAGAGACAGAGAGAGAGAGAGAGAGAAAACAAGCTTCTTCTGATGGAATAATAACCATATTCTTCCAGTTTGATTTAGGGATCTCAACTAGTTGAGGTAAAAATCATGAAAACAGTTTACTTTTTTAAAAACAGCATTCCTCTCTTGTACTCTTTTCAGTCATTATTACTAATATAGTTTCAGACTGTTAAAGGTTTGATTCTATTTGTCTTAAGCAGTCGAACTCACTTTTATATTTTGTAGTACTGGGTACTAAACCTTGAGCTACAAACTCAGCCCCTGAAACATACTTTGGATTCAGAGTGCTCCTTAGTCCCTCCAGGACAGATTTAGAACTGTGGGTCCTGAGTGTGTGTCAGGGGAAAGAGATGTTATGTTGTCTAACATACCCCATTCCCTCCCTATGTCTGATTGGATGGTTTGAGAGTTTGTAGGGAGGGGGGTGGATAAAGATATCTCTTTACCTAAATATGTAATGTGAGACTACTACTCCCATAATTAATAACCATTGTGGTTCAAGCTTAATTCCTATAGTTCCTAATGATAAGGGCTGCCAACTAAGCAATCTCTTTAAATTTTGGTAGCATCTATGAAGATAAAGTCATATTGTGCATATGACTTTTAGACTATGACTCTCACATGCCATTGTGTTTTACATAAGCCTCTTTACCTTACTCTGGATCAGACTCTGGTAAGCATGTATCACAACAGCTTTATTCTCTCAAGCTTTGGAGCCTATAGTCATGATGTTTTTTTTTTTTCATACCTCTTGAGATGTGAGGATTTTGGAGAAAGATAATCTTGGCCCTTTCTACACATGGCTACACCATCACATGGTAGTTCAAAATTCTCAGCAAAAAAGCATATCCATCAGAGGAATGAGAAGTTAACCATACCACATGACAAATACCACTAAACTTTATGTACAATTCATTAAGGATCTTCCTTGTCTTTGGAGAAGATAGCCAAACACTGCCATCCCCCATCACAACAGGAAACAAAAATAGGATTTTTTTTCACAGACACATTTCCCTCAGATGTAAACTCAAATTCTTTCCATAGGATTACACTATACTCTGTGTGTGTGTGTGTGTGTGTGTGTGTGTGTGAGAGAGAGAGAGAGAGAGAGAGAGAGAGAGAGAGAGAGAGAGAGTGAGAGACATAGCATTCATGTGGGGGTGCATGTGTGTGCATGCTGGTCCTGGAGATAAACCTCAGGTCTTGAGCACTGCCCCTGAACTATTTTGCTCAAGGCCTAGCACTCTACACTTAAGCCACAACTCTAATTTTGGATTTTTTGGTTATTAATTGGAGATAAGAGTCTCAGAGACTTCCCTACCTGGGCTGGCTTCCAATCACAATTCTCAGATCTTAGCCCTCTTGAATATTAACTAAGTTACAGGCTTGAGCCAACGGCATTGGGTTTCTTGCCCTACACTTCTATTACTAAAGGATAAGGGCCATCAAATCAGTTTTTCTTTTCTTTTTCCCCTGAGACACATGAATCCCATACTCAAATCTGGTGCCTTTCTAACTTGGCCTTAGGAAAAAATTCAATTCTGTTCTCAGTGTGTCTTAAGAACTCCACAGAAAACTCCAAGGCCAGGAAAAAACATTTCAATCAACTCCTCACACTATTTTAGGAAATTCAATAGTATTCTAGAACAATTTCATCTAGTATTAAATTTACTACAATCAATTTCTTATGTACCAAAAACATCTGATCTGACTATATTATATATTATATTATTATATTTTCATTGGTGTTTTTAAACAAAAGACTTATAAGATGAGTCAAAAGGACAAGAGCAAAGCACATACCTACTGAAATGAGCATCCACTTGCAAAACTTCATTTCTAATGGTTATCTCAAAATAGTTTTTCTACTTTCAGGAGATTTGCTCAAGGTAATTCCTAATTTTTGTTAAAGGATTTTTAGATTGCTGTAAGTACAGTCCTTGGAATTAAAAGCAACCACTTAATCTCTGTACTAGATTATTCGTTCAACAAATATTCACTAATCACCTATTTAACACTAGAAACTATATCACAAACTATGGAAACTAGAACAAAACAGATGTGTTTGTGATCCTCATAGATTTTACTGGTAGTCTTGATAAAGTCCTTAACAATTCCTGTCTCACAAAAGAATACAGAAACCTTGATAAGATATGGAGCAGGCTGAATTTAAACCTATACTTGGCATGATATACAGTTCGTGCTTCTAATCTGCATCCTTCCAACTATACCATTAATATAGCAGTTTGTATGTCAATCTTAATTAAATTTGATCTAAAGATGCTTCTGTTTATGAGCCCTTACATAAGAAATGACAATCTAACAGTATAATAGAACAAAATGGAAACCTAATTCAATATACTTCTGTAACAAATATTGAATCTGAGTTACCCATGCTAATACATCATTCCAGGTTCTGTCATTTACTTAAATGTACTTTGACCTTTCACAGAGACAAATCAGCTATTTATTTTTTAATTTTAATTATGTTTTATAAATTATCTTTAAGTACAAATACAACAGAATACATTCTTTGTCTCAAGGATTAGCATCTGTTTTATGGCTGGATGAATTATTTCCTGGAAGGAATGCCCAAACAACAGCCAAGAACTCAGAAAGTAATATCAAGAGTGATTAAGAGCAAAGAAAAACACCTATCTTTGCATAACTTTGAGACCCCCAGCCTTTATCATATAAGTACTTGGATGTCAAAGAGCTCTGTATCTCCCTTTGAGAGCACCCACACTGTTAATGTGTCTCTCTGACTTTACATTTGTTTGCTGTCTGCTTGCTTGTTTTTTTCAATAAAGCTCCACCAAGGTTTCTTACCAGTAGGACGTGTCCAGGAATTCTTATTCTGTGATCTGAAGTCAAGAACCCTAACTGGAGAGTCCCTATTCCTAAAGGGAAACATCACAAACGCTCACCTCTACCGGGTAACAGAATAAAAAATGTCACATATGATTGTGAACAATGGTAAGGATTTGATAATTGGACTTCTCCCAGAAGATTTACTACACATCATTTTCAAAACATTAACTGGGTTTAAAATAAAAGATTGACAGAGACTACCATGGTGTTTAAAAAAAATGATGCTGTACCTGTGGTGTTACATAAAACCTAGAGAAACTGGTACATACAAGTCAACATAAACATGGGGGTGTTTTCATTCTGGAGAACAAAGCATTTATTTCAAGTGTAAGCTCGCAATTTGTAATTTTTCAAAGCATGATGACTAAGGAAGGAAGGAAAAGGAAAGGAAAGGAAGGAAAGAAGGAAGAAAAGAAAGAAAGAAAGAAAGAAAGGAAGGAAGGAAGGAAGGAAGGAAGAAAGAGAGAAAGGAAGAAAGAGAGAAAGGAAAGGAAAGGAAAAAAAAAGAAAAAGAAAAAATAGGGGAAATGTACAGCCCAAGGAACCTCCAGGCGTCTGTGGGAGGGATACAGGGAAAAACAGGAAACCATGGAGGAGAAAAGGCCTCAAAGGCCTAAGCCAAAACCTAGGGTGGGAGGTGGGGTGGAGGATGGAGCAGATCCTTCCTGGTAACAGAGAAAAGCCAGGTCCAACCGCAAGATGGTGATGCCACTTGTGTGCCCTCAGATTGGAGAGGCCCCAGATGAGTGACGGCTGGTGCGCGCACCCCGGGAGCACGCACGGCGAGGTGGAGGGGGGATGTGCAGTGCGTCAGCCAGGGGCGGCGAGGGTGGGAGGGGGCGGAGGGGGGGGGCTCTTGCCGCACTGGCCGCCCGAGGTGGGGGGCGAGCTCGGCGGTGACGCGCGGCCCTCACGTGACCCGGAGCTGCAGAGCGACGCAGCCTTGGGTGCAGTCGTCACTCGCGTCTGGCTAGCAGCTCCCCGCCGCCCAGCGCACGGCGGGCTGGCATCGGGCCCGGGGAAAGCGGAGCAGGTAAGGCCCCGGGGCCCGCGCGCCAAGGCCCGGCCCGCAGCCGCTTGCCGCCCGCAGCCGTTTGCCGATCGCAGCGAGGCAGGTGCAGAAAAGTGCGGCGGGCGCCCGTCTCCTCCACACCCTGGCTTTCTGGGAATACAAGTGCGGCCCCCTTGGAGTGGGGATGCGGGGCGGTTGGGGTTTCGGGGGAGGCGCAGCGGGGCACCTGAGAGCCAAGGGAAATCACCCTCTAGTCCCTGCAATGGGAGCACCTCTGGGAGGGGATAGGGTGGGGATGGGGGGGGGATGGCGGGGAAGAAAGGCCTGAACACAGAGCGAGGGACAGCGCTGGGTTCTGCAGCTTCCCTCCACCCCCACCTCCCCTCCCTCACCCTGCCCTGCTGTGTGCATGTCTACAGGGCCAAGTGAATCTGTGAAGACGCGGGTCGCGTCAAGAACCCGGAGGAGACCTCAAGGATAGGCCCAGGTCTGTTAAACGGGCATTGCTGGAGGGCGGGGACAAGAATGTGTGGAAAGTCCAGCCCGAGACCCAGACCCCAACTCTTTCCTCCATGCACCTCCCCTAACCATTCCCATCCTCCATTTTGATGCCTGCATAGCTCTGGGAAAGAATCCTGGGAAAGAAAAAATGGAGGGCTTTGAGTGAGGGAGGGAAAAGGAGAGGACTGGAAGGAGGGGCTCAAATTGGAGGCCCCCTAGAGGGCGCAAGGAGTGTCGAAGGTGGGAAAAACGAATTAAAAAATCAAAACAAAACAAACAAAAACCCTTTGCTATTAGGTCCCTGAATCCTGCTGCACAGTGCACCAGGCATTCAGTTTGCATCCTTGCCCTTGTCTTACTTGTGTTCAAAGAAAAACAGCCAGAAAAAAAATCTCATCATGGCAAATATCCGCCAGGAAAACGAAGAAATGGAGCAGCCCCTGCAGAATGGAGAGGAAGATCGCCCCCTGGGAGGAGGTGATGGCCACCAGCCTGCAGGAAATAACAGAAGAGGACAGGCTCGGCGACTTGCCCCTAATTTTCGATGGGCCATACCTAATAGGCAGATCAATGATGGGATGGGTGGAGATGGAGATGATATGGAAATGTTCATGGAGGAGATGAGAGAAATCAGGAGAAAACTTAGGGAGTTGCAGTTGAGGAATTCTCTGCGTAATCTTATGGGTGAGCTCTCTAATCACCATGACCATCATGATGAATTTTGCCTTATGCCTTGATTTCTGCAATTTTCCATGAGATTAATACTGTGATTCCTGCTGTTTTCCTTTTCCTGCATTTTCCTTTTAATGCCTTTACTAATCTATGTGCTGTGAACCTGGTGTTATTTCCATGTGTCGGGTGGGTCTTGTGTTGCCAGCTTCTAATTGGACATTGACTTTGTGCCCAGTGTTCCTGTCAACGTAGAGTTTTACCCATTTGCATGGAAAAAATGTAAAGTTAATAAAGCAATTAAAAAGCATTCTATACGTTATTGTTTTACTAAAAACCACATATATATATATATATGAACATCCCCTCCCTCAGCCTGAAACAGCAGAGTTAACTGGAGCACCTTCTTGTGTGGTAAACAATGAAAATAAGTTTCAATGTCTTTATGAATGTAACAAGGGTATATAATAATTACTAGGTCAAAAAACCTTAATAGTAAATCTCCTTTGTTACAGATATAATCCTTTAGTATATTTTCTTTTGTGAAATAGGGGAAATACTTGTTTTCCAGAGCTGTTGAGTGGAGCCTATCAGATGTGGAACTGTTCACTGGATTTTGTCCATTTCCCCAGCATTTCACAGGCCACAGGGCCCCATCAAGTAATTGGGGGAGAACTGGAGGGAGGTCTTTCCCATGCTTACATGTCCATACAGAAAATAAAATAGGTTTCTCCATGTTACTCCTCTGTTATTTGCAGTCTTGCTACCCTGAATCAGTCCTGTTAATTGGAGATACTGTTCCTTTTGACGTCCTAACTTACAGAACATAAATAGACTTGAACCTTTTACTTGTGTTCACTCCTTGGGGTGATTTACTTGGGAGACTCAGCAGGCCTGTCCACTCAGTTAAACAGACTTAATTCAGACATACAAATAACATTGGGGTGTGGCACATTCTTCATAAAGCTGAGGCTCTCATCTCCATCTTATCCATTTCTGGAATATGAAAATAAGCCTTTGAGAAGTATACTAAATATTTGGCATTGTGATTTCTGTGTAAATGTGACCTTCTCCGGTGATTTTGAGTGAATTATCCTTGGGCTCAGTTTCCACAACAGTATCTAAGTTATTGTCTTCATTGGTTAACTAATACAGTCAGAGATCCTGCTTAATACTATTTCTGACCCTAAGTGATGGGAAGGAAGTAACTTTACCTGGAAATTATTACATTTAACTAACAAACAGTCTCAAAATATTTATTTACCTAGACAAAATGTTAAGAATGGTAATATTTGAGTGCCCTGTCCACCTACCTTCACCCTCACTTTTAGCACCATCTGAATCAGGAATTGTTTTAATAGTTGCTCAGCGATTTTCACTTATCTAAGTAACATTGGAAGAGTGAACACTGATGGAAATTACACCCGTTTTGCAGGCTATGAGCTTAATTGTGTCTTTCATAATTAACAAATGCTTCCAAGTTGGACTACATTAAATAATCAAAGTATGGCACTACTTAAACTATCACTACATTTTGTTTCTAAATTTCCTATTAAATCGGTGCATTATTATGGATGTGTTTGGGGGAACCGATTCTGTTTATTCAGAATTTGGATAATTTGTCTCTAGGATACACTCCTGATTTCTGTGTACTATTAGCACTCCTCCATCACTTTTGTTTGCTGAGTAAGGTCTTACTTTGCAGTCCAGAGTTGATCCTCCTGCCTCCTAAGTACTGAGATTGCAGACCTGTGGCACCACAATAGGCCCAATGGTAATTTTTTTCGTTCTAGATATCCCTTTCTTTTTTGTTATTATGTATTAATTATACAGAACAATGAGTTTATGTGACATTTATGTATACCTGCACAACATTTTGATAATCACTACTATTACCACCTTTTCCCTTCTCTCACTTTCTTCATCTTTCCTAATAGAGTCCCTTGTACTTTTATGTCTTTTCCCTCTTTCCACATATGAGAGAAAATGTGTGATACTTGCCACTGTCACTTACAAAGTAAAAGCAAAATTACTGACAAAAGAGCTTTGTTTCATCAATCTGGGCAGTTCCACTGCCCAAATTCCAGTCTAATGTCTCTCATTCTCCCCGGAATGAGTATGTTTCCTCATTTGATAGCGCAAGTGGCTTTTAGGGAAAAGCAAGGGCATAGAGAGCTGTGTGGTATGATTTCCAATGTGTGCGTGTTCAAGGTTTCATGGTTGCATAGAAACGTGACGTCAATGTGGCGACTGTGGCTACCTTGACGACTTTCTAATGGAAATCAACGTGACCAGGTTCTAAAAGAGAGGGGTCTTGTTTCCAATTGTTTGGCTTTGGCTAAGGGCTTTGAGTGTCTGCGAGGGTTGGGGGTGGGGGGGGGAGGACGGAGGAGAAGGTCCAAGGAGACAAGAAATTCCAAACCCTAGTCTGCTATTTTCCCAGCTTCAGTACTTGTTCTGTCTGGTGATGCAGAGAGATGGGGAATGCTTCTTGCATATTGGAGTGTGATTTCCTTCGCTGCTGAGTTCTGGGAATGAGCAGGAATAGAAAATGCTGTGGAGAAGTGAGTCCAGTGGCCATTTCTGTGAGGTGGGAAAGAGAATGTCTACTCATAGGGACTTTGAGAGACGACCCACAACTGCACAAAGCCATCTCCCTGGGCTCACTGTTTTATCACCAGGATCTATGAGTACAGAAGTAGGTCAAGAGAGAACAGGAAGGTTGAGGCAGAGGAGGAGGATCTGAGTTCAAGTTCTGGTATAGGAAAGAAAAAAAATCAGACAAAATAGGTTTAAACAAGCACACACACAAAGCACGCTTGCAACATACATGAAAAATACTGAATGTCATAAATTATGTTAAAGAGGGAGGAGAGTTAGGAAACTTACGTAGATCTCAGGCCAAAAAAGTCCGTGCCTGCTGTTGCCGTGGAAACGTGACATCATCACAGCGACTCAGGACACGATTTTTAATGGAGACGGAAGTGATCTGCTAAGAAGGAGGAACTAAGCTATTGCATTCTTCTAAGGGTTTGAGTTCCCAAAGTAGGGTCTGAATCATCCTGGGAAGCCGGGACACATGCCAGGATCCCAGACTCAAATAGGCTGTTTCCGCTTGGGGATTCGCTGTCTTGTGACGGAGAGAGAGGTGAGACCCTCCTGCTCTTGTGAGTAATGTGCCCTGCACTGGAGTGTCCTGGAGCTATTTTTTTTTTGAGCGAGGGAGGGGAATGCGTTACCCTCTAAAGTGGATCTCTGATGTGTAAACAAAAATGCAGTTGGTTAGACAAACTTGCTAGGCATTTGAGATTGTAATATATATTCTGTAATAGCAATTTTTTAAAAAGTCTACAAATCTATTGAATTGCCTTTCCACCGTCATGTTTTTTTAAAAAAAGAATCAGCTTTTTATGTATGTGAGTGAGGGGATCTATTTTTTATTCTTTATCTGGTCCTTATTTATTTATTTATTTACTGGGGCTTGAACTCGAGGCTTGGGTGCTGTACCTTAGCTTTTCCCCCAAAGGCTAGTTCTCAACCACTTCATTCTCAGCTCGACTTCGGACTTTTTTGATGATTATTCACAGATAAGAGTCTCCTAGACTTTATACTGCCCTGGAAGGCTGTGAACCACAATCCTTAAATCTCAGCCTGCTGAGTAGCTAGGATTGCAGGCTAGAGATCCTTGCTGCGGGCTATTCTATACCTTTTATATACCTTTCTATTTTGTTGCCATTTTCACACTTTCTTGAGTTTATCCTCTGACATTGTTATTTTTCAAAATTATTTTTGTAGTCCACTCTATTTCTTTGTGGATTTTAGAATTAATTTCTGTCTGGAAAAATCTACTATAAACTTTGTTGGGATTGCACTGAGTCTATAAATCAGTTTGAGGAAAATAGACTTCTTAATAATGATGAATCTTCTATTTCACAAAATTATGCATTTAGGTCTTTAATCTCTTTCACCAATATTTTGTAATGTTCAGTGGGCCAGTATTGCATAACTAAGGAAGACTTCCTTAATTATTTTATAGTTCCTTATTCTAATATAAATGATGAGTATTTTAAATTACATTCCACATATCTATTTTTTGTTTAACTGTTCAATTGTTAGCAGGCAAATGTTTAAAGTAGCTATTGTAGAGTCTTCTAGGTTGAAATCTCAGGTTACTTACTCTATGATGAAAAGGTACCAGCTGCTTAACATGTATTTGCCCATGCTTCTATGCCAGCTTTTAGAATTACTGGTCATGTACTGAAATTTTTTTTGGGGGGGTCTGGTTGTGGTGCCTGAACTCTGGGCCTGGGCACTTCAGCTCTTCAGCTCAAAGCTAGCATTCTACCACTTGAGCCACAGCGCCACTTCTGGCTTTTTTTTTCTGCTTATGTGGTGCTGAGGAATCGAACCCAGGGCCTCATGCATGCAAGGCAAGTGCTCTACCACTGAGCCACCTTCCCAGCCCTGAAATTTTGCATAAAAATGACCTAATGTCAATTTTAAGAATGAGCCCTCAAAAACCTCAGCACTAAAATATGTGGTCAAAATTGAATCTGTAACCCCATGGATGTTTTTCTTCTTTATCTCTCAGCAAAAGTACCTAAACAAATTGTTAGGGTCATTCGCATCATGGCTGAAGAGAATGAGATGGAGAATGGGGGGAGGGGACAGAAAGAGAAAGAGAGCTCTTTGTTTCTCTTTTCACAGCCTTCCTAAGCCAGCATGGTTACCATAGTGACTTGGGGACCACTATGAGATTTGATAGAGACTGTGTCCATTTACAATTAGTGATGGAATCACTTATTACCATGATAGGTGTCAGTAGTTGCTTTTTCAATGCTTTTATTCCTCCTAAAATTATTACTTGTCTTTGAAAATAGAGCTTCCACATCTCCCTTACTTGCTTGTTAATGTATTCATTCTCATATTTTCATTTTTCTTAAAAGTTTGCATTTTATGTATTTTAGTGCTTAAATTTCCCAAAATTGGCCAGTGGAAATTAATTTGAAACTAATTAATGTCTCCTTAGAATTCCTTGAGCATGTACTTTGCTTTTTGAGCAAAGTAGAAAGAAAGTAATTATGTCCATCTCACAGCAATCCTTTGAGAACTTGAAGAGAAAATGTCTGAAAGTAAAAACCTCAAGAAGGTCATCAGCAAATGTTAGCTCCCCAATGCAACTTTTTCTTTATTGTCAGTGCATGCTTCTTGTATTAGTATAATATAATGCAATACAATACTTAGAAATGTAACAGAAAGTAGGGATAAGCCCACATTTCCATCATGTAAGTCTCAATGTCACTGGTATATGGGGAGAATTGTGGGATGGAAAAAGTAAGAAGAAATGAGGTCTCTGCATAGTTTTACCTAACTGAGTGATTATAAGCAACATCATCTACCCATTCTCTTCATTTAATGTGCTTTCCCAGCCTCATTTCCTCTGTATTTCATGTATTGTTTTTAAATTTTCCTTTGTCTGCCTCCTAGTGTAACATCAGAGAAAGTTGTGAAGTCTATACTACTGAACCAAAAGCTGTTAAAGAAAAAATAAAGTGTGCTATCAAGCCTTCTAGACAGGTTATAAGAACAAGCATGAAGAGATCATGAGGACTTTGTAAGTCACTTCCCTTCCACCATCTTTGTCTATACAGCAGGATAATGTAACAATTCTCAATCCTTCTAATGACTAGGAATACTCTGGGCATCGACTGTGATCCCTTGTGTGAAATCATGTATGGTCTCAGTAGGAAGGAAGGAGCAGGTCATTTTGGATAAATTACATTATCAGAGATCTTATAAATGTCCCAGAACACTGCATGGATAGCATTAAATTAGTCATCCTTAAATGTGGGCTGCTGAAATCAGGATATTTTCATGTGGTACATGAATTGCTTCACCAAATTACTGAGTAGTGCGTATTAAAATAACAGACATCTGTGTTATGCCTAGAATTCTGCTGATATAATTTGTTTTACCAAGGAAGACCTATGCTCATGCCTTTTATATTATTTTGCAGATAAAAAATCTCTTGGAACAGATTCTTAGAAGAGTGAGGGCTGGTCCCGAGAGAAGATACTTACATCCCGTAAAAGAGAAGATTTTGAAATGGAACATCTGGAATATAGCAACAAGTAGTGGATGTGACTCTTACCTCATTCCTTTGATTCATTCCATGTTCTTTTTTTCCCTAGTGTGACATGGCTGAAAAAATTTCTTATTGATCCCTCAAAACAACTAATACAAAGAGCAAAAATACTAATGAGTCATCTAGACTGACACAGGGGATGAGGGTACTGGGCAAGGATAACATACCCTTCTACAGAATCAGGACCTTGTGTGACTCCTTTCCCTTTCTTGGCCTCTGATCTAATATAGATGGACACTGGTACAGAAGGTACTAGCAAAAGGGATTAGGGGTGTGGGTTTTGGAGTGAGAGGAACCATTAATTGATGGTTGTATGATCTATGGCAACTTATTTGTCATGTCCTGATAATTAAAGGTGTCTTTTTTTCCCTCATCTTCCTCCTCTCCCACCTGCTCTCCTCCTTCTTTTTCCTATTATTCTACTGTACATCCAAAATTTGAATGATAGAAAAGTGGTTATTACATTTCCCACTTTTATTTTCATTGCATGTTCCACAAACCTTTGATTTTATAACTTTTCAACTGACAAACATGAGAAGAGTCAGACATATACCATTACTTTTATATTACAGATATAGCATCTCTAATCAGATATATTATTCAAACAGTGGACTTCATTAGCTAGAAGACTCATTAAAAGGTAAAATTAAATCATTTTATAAATTTTGTCATTAATCAGAATGTTTCATCCACTTATTAGTACTTAGTTTAAAAAATTAGAAGAGCCGAGCACCAGTGGCTCACTCAGGAGGCTGAGATCTGAGGATCGAGGTTCAAAGCCAGCCCGGGCAGGAAAGTCTATGAGACTCTTATCTCCAATAAAACCACTAGAAAATTGGAAGTGGTGCTGTGGCTCAAGCAGTAGAGTGCTCACTTTGAGCTGAAGAGCTGAGGGACAGCGCCCAGGCCCAGAGTCAAGCCCCACGACTGACCATAAAAAAAAATTAGAAGAAATTCAAAACACAAATAACAAAGTTAAAATTCTAACCTACATATACTGGATATATGAAATGTAATATGTATATATGTATTATATTTGCACATATACATACAAAGAAAAAATCAGTGGAATGAATACCATAAGTGAATTTCAGTGATGACAGAAATGCTTAGTATTATTTTTATTTGCGGTACATTACTGAGCATTAAACATTTTCAAAAAGAGATGTTCTAATATCCATGTAGTTTATTCTTTCTTTTCTGTCAGTCATGAGGCTTGAACTTGGGGCCTGGGCTCTTTCTTGGGCTTTTTGCTCAAAGCTAGTGCTCTATACCATTGTGACCCACAGCACCACTTCCAGTTGTCTGGTGATTAATGGAGATAAAGTCTTCTGGACTTTCCTGCCTGGGTTGTCTTTGAATTGTGATCCTCAGATCTCAACCTTCTGAATAGCTAAGATTACAGGAGTGAGCCAGTACTCAGCATAACACGTTTCTTGAATATCTACTTCTTATATTTCATTTCAGGAATAAATACACAAAATTACTCCAAGTGGAGAAATACATTATTCCTTCAGGATCTTACCCTTTTCTTATCTCTTACAGGTAATCACTATCTGTTATAAGATGATTTTTCTTTTTTCTTACTTTTTTTTTTTTTCGGTCGGTCATGGAGCCCGAACTCTGGGCCTGGGCGCTGTCCCTGAGCTCTTCAGCTCAAGGCTAGTGCTCTACCACTTGAGCCACAGCACCACGTCTGCCTTTTTCTGTATATGTGGTACTGAGGAATCCAACCTAGAGCCTCATGCATGGGAGGTGAGCACTCTACCGCTGAGCCACCTTCCCAGCCCTTGATTTTCATTTTCTTTATTGTAAGGATGTTCTTCTTGTATTTTCCATTTGCACTTCTTTTGAGAACTGTTAATTCATTTGTGCATTTATTATTTGTTTTTGTTGTTCAATTTTTAAAAATTTTATTTTATTGTAAAGATGCTCTCTGAATTAGTCCTTTGGTGAATAGCTTCTCTACTCTGTGAATTGTCTCTTCATTCTGGTAATTGTTTGTTTGTGAAGAAACTTTTTAAAGTTGATGCAATCCCATTTGTTAATTCTTGCTTTTATTTCTGGAGTAATTGGAGTGCTATTCAGAAGGTAACTTTACCTATGTCTATATCTTCACATTTTTTTTCTGTTCTCCTGCAGTAGTCTCAAAGTTTCTAGTTTTACTACAGATATTTGATTCATTTTTTTCTTTCTCTTTTTTCTTTTAATTTTATTGTCAAGGTGATGTACAGTGGGGTTACAGTAATATAAGTAAGGTAGTGATTACATTTCTTGTCTAACTTGTTACCCCTTCCCTCATTTTTCTCCCTCTTTCCCTTCCACCCCAACCCCCCCCAAGTTGTACAGATAATTTCCAACATTACAACAGTATTGCTGTTATATAGATTCCCCGTTTGTCCTTTGTCTCACTATTTTGTTGCTCCCCTTCCCTTCCCTAGTTCAGATAAACATATATACAATACCCAGGACACCAGAATCAAATACAGTTACCACAGGGGATAAACCATAGGGGGGAAAACACAAAAGAAGAAAGAAATCACATAGTACATTGAGAACAACAAGAAAGAAAAACCTCTTGTGTCCATGTCTTGGAGTTCATTTCGCTTAACATCATCTTATATGGTCATATGTGCATAGCTATTGAGTAGCTATTGAGCTGTTCTGCTCATCTGCTAAGTTTATCCTAGATATATACTAATTATTACAAATATGAGAGATCATGGGACCTATGTTTCTTTGGGTTTGGCTTATTTCACTTAATATTTTTTTTCCCCAAGTCCTTACATTCCTTGCAAATGGGGCCTTGTCATTATTTCTGACAGAAGAATAGAATTCCATTATATATATATCACATTTTTCTCGATTCATTCATCTACTGAGAGACATCTGGGTTGGTTCCATATCTTAGGGTAAATAATGCTGCAATAAACATAGTTGTGCTGGCAGGTTTAGTGTGGCATTGTTTGTGTACATTTGGGTAAATGCCCAGAAGTGGGATTGCTGGGTCATAGGGAAGCTCTATGTGTAGTCTTTTGAGGAACTTCCATACTGCTTTCCAGAGTGGCTGATCAAGTTTACACTCCCACCAACAGTGTAGTAGCGTTCCCTTTTGGCCACATTCCCTTCAGCATTTGTTGTTATTTGGTTTCTTGATTATAGACATTCTAACTGGAGTGAGGTGGAATCTCAATGTTGTTTTGATTTGCATTTCTTTTATGGTCAGAGATGTTGAGCATTTCTTCATGTATCTATTGGCCATTCTTATTTCCTCTTCAGGGAAATCTCTCTTTTAGTCTTTAGCCCACTTATTAATGATGCCGTTGTTTCTTTGGGAATTTTTTTGGGGGGGATTTAATTTTTTTAGTTCTAACTATGTTTTAGATATGAGACCTTTGTCTGTTTTATGATTAGTGAAGATCTTTTCCCAATATGTGGGCTTTCTACTAATCTTGCTAGCAGAAGCTCTGCAGTTTAATGCAATCCCATTTGTTCAACCTTTCTTTGACTGGTTGTATTTCTGGGACTTTATTAAGAAAATGTGGCCTGTGCCAAAGAACCCTAGAGTTTCTCTGATTTCTTCCTGCAATGTTTTCAGGATGTCTACTTTCACCTCGAGGTCTTTGATCCATTTGGAATTGATTCTGGTGCAAGGTGATATATAAGTATCTGACTTTATTTTTCTACAGGTGTTTAACCAATTTTGCCAGCATCTTTTACTGAAGAGGCTGTCTTCCACACTATTTTTGGCTCCCTTATGGAAGATTAGGTGGCTATAGGTCTGCAGGTTCATTTCTGGGTCTTCAATTCTATTCCATTGGTCTTCATGTCTGTTTTTGTGCCAGTACCAAGCTGTTCTGATTATTATACCTTTGTAGTAGAGTTTGAAGTTTGGTATTGATATTCCTCCAGCACTGTGCTTTCTGCTAAGGATTGTTTTTGCTATTTGGGGTCTTTTATTGTTCCATATGAGTTTTTGTATTGCTTCCTATTTCATTAAACAATTCGGTTGGGGTATCGATGGATATTCCATTGAATTTGTAGATAGCCTTTGGCAGTATTGCCATTTTCATGACATTAATCCTCCCAGTCCAGGAGCATGGGAGGTTTCCCCACTGCCTGAGTTCTGCTTTAATTTCCTTTTACAGGTTTTTAAATTTTTCATCATAGAAATCTTTCACTTCTTTGGTTAATTCCTAGGTATTTTATTTTGGGGGGGGGAGGCTATTACAAAAGGAGTTGCTTTCCTGAATTCAGCTTCTCTCTTCTTGCCATTGGCATACACAAAAGCTATCGATTTTTGAGAGTTAATTTTATACCTTTCTACTTTGCCAAACTTTCAGATCAGGCAGAGTAATTTGGCAGTGGAGTTTATGGGATTCTTTTAATACAGAATTATGTCATCTGCAAAGGGGAAGAGTTTTACTTCATTTTTCCCCATTTGGATTCCCTTTATGTTTTCATCTTGCTTTAGCTAGGCCTTCTAATACTATATATATGAAGAGGAGTGGAGAGAGCAGACATCCTTGTCTTGTTCTTGAATTTAGAGGGAATGGCTTTAGCTTTTCATAATTAAGTACAATGCTAGCTGAAGGTTTGTCATACACAGCCTTTATTATATTGAGGAATGTTCCAGGGATTCCTAGCTTCTCCAGAGCTTTCATCATAAAGGGGTGTTGGATCTTGTCAAATGCTTTTTCTGTATCTATTGAGATAATCATGTAGTTCTTGTCCTTGCTCCTGTTGATGTTAATGAATTACATTAATTGACTTGTGAATATTGAACCAGCTTTGCATCCCTGGAATGAATCCTGTTTGATCATAGTGTATGATTGGCCAGAATTTTGTTGAGTATTATGTCGATGTTCATCAAAGAAATCAGGTCCGTACTTTTTCCTTTGATGACTCCCTTTCTGCTTTTGGGTTACTTTTATTTTTTGCTTGTACTGGAGGTTAAACTCAGGGCTTTGTACGCTCACTTGGCTTTTTACTCATAATTAGTGCTCTACCATTTGAGCCAAATCTCTAGTTCTGGATATTTGTTGGTTAGTTGGAGATAAGTATCTCTTGGATTTGTCTGCTGGAGCTGGCTTCTAACTGCACTACTCAGGTATTAGCGTCCTGAGTACCTGTACTAGTTTAAATTTATCTTTGTACAAGTTGAAAGATAGGGATCTAGTTTTCATCTTTTAAACATGGCTATCCAGTTTTCCTAATACCATTGGCTGAAGAGACTCTAAGGATATATGGCTATAACTGGGTTTATTTCTGGGAATCTTCTATGGCTCTATAGTATGATTTGAAGTCTGGTATTGTGATGCCTCCAACATGCCTTTTTTGCATAGGATGTCTTTGTGTATTTGCGATCTTGTATAGTTTTGTACGAATTTTGGAATTGTGTGTGTGTGTGTGTGTGTGTGTGTTGGTCCTGGGACTTGAACTCAAGGACTGGGCGCCATCCTTGAGCTGCTTTTGCTCAAGGCTGGTGCTCTACCACTTCAGCCACAAGTCCACTTCTGGCTTTGTCTGTTTATGTGGTACTGAGGAATCGAACCTAGGGCTTCATGCATGTTAGGCAAGCACTCTGCCACTAAGCCCCATTCCCAGCCCAACTTCTGGCCTTTTTTGGGGTAGTAGACTCTCATGGACTGTCCTGCCCTAGGTTGGTTTCAAACTGTGATTCTTATATCTTAGCCTCTTGCATAGGTAGGAATACAGATGTAAGCCACCAGCACTGGGCTTTAAAGTGATTTTTATATTTCTGAGAAAAATGACATTGGGATGTTGATGGATAATGCATTAAAACTACTTTCAGTAGTATAGCCATTTTTACAATATTAATTAGCTAAACCATAATTATGGAAGATCCTCCTTCCATCTTCTAGTGTCTTCAATTTCTTTTGTTAGTTTTTTATAATTTTCATTATAGAGGTCTTTTGGGTCCTTAGTTATGTTTATTCCGTGTGTGCGTGTGTGTGTGTGTGTGTGTGTGTGCGCGTGTGCGCATGCTCCCATGTAGTGATACTGGGGTTTGAACTCAGGGCCTAAGTGCTGTCCCTTAGCTTTTGTGCTCAATGCTGGTACTCTACCCTGTCAGCAACAGCTACATTTCTAGCTTTACTGAAAATAAGAATATCATAGACTTTACTGCCCAGAATGGACTTGAACTTCAATCCTCAGATCTCAGCCTGCTGAGTATCTAGGATTATAGGCATGAGCCACCAGTCCCCAACTCATTCCTGGATATCTTTTTAAGCTATTGTGAATATTTTTTTTAATTTCTGCCTATTTATTTGGGGTCTGGCTTGTACCTGTTTTTCCTAGAGCTTGAGGTATTGTATTAGCTGCCTCCCTTTATGTACTCTAAACTGCTGCTGGCTTCATGGAGCTTTATAAATCTATGGGCTACTTGCTGTAAAGGGCCCCAGGGAAAACACAACATGCAACCCCCTAATGCATCTAATGGGGGAAAGGGGCAGCACTACATTCTGTACTTGTGTTGGCAAACTCAAGGACTCAGATACTCTGCTTGCAGTTGACCTATAATGTTTTTAAGTCACATACTCTGATTGAAATAGAAAAAAATCTAAAGTAGAAAACAACAGTAAGACATGCATGAAAACTTTGGGGAACGTATTTGCAGACTAGATCAAGATTAATCTAGTATAGGTATGGTTTTGACATACAACATGAAAGAAGTTATGATATAATTTTAACTGGTTTCAAATAAAGCTGTATATCAACAATAGATATGTTATAATATGCTGACACCACAATGAATTAACTGATGCAAATGTACTTATTTCTTTAGAAATCCTGAGCATATGAACTGGAAAATCTAAGATGCACATGCAGATGTTTCTGAGCATGTGTTTTTTGAAACATCTGTGTGTAAGGTACATGGTCACATACAGCTCACTGTAATGTCATGTCTACAGAATGTGCACCATCCTACTGACAACTCCCTAAGGGTCAGGTAAGACTAAGGCCAGTGAGAAATGCAAATTTATTTCGTCATAAATGTCCTTCTTTGTATTGTTTGAGTTTTTGTATCTATCAAACAAGGTAGATTTTCAAAATATAAAACAAAATACTTGTGTAGAAATTAATTTAAAAAGAAAGGTACACACATGTTCTTTGTAAAAGTCATCACATTAGTTTGATGAAATGAATTATGTGGACAAATAGAATTAAATTTGTGTGTGTGTGTGTGTGTGTGTGTGTGTGTGTATATGTGTGTGTTTCTAGCTTTTTTAGAATATGGCTTGTAACTGTAGCTCTATCATCAGTCTAGACTATGACTTGTTTCTAGTCTCAGGTTTAGATATCTCATCAAATGTGCATTTGTACATTCCAGGAAAATTGCTTTACATTTTACAATGAACAAATACCATAAAGTGGGTGAATGTGATAAAAAGTTATGTTTGGGAACTGCACACATAAAGTTTAAGCCATTCCATTTGCCTGTTCATGCAAAATGTTCCTGGCATTCAATGATAAATCTTGTGCATCTGCAGTAGGTTGAGATGGGCACATTGTAAAAGGTTCCCAGAGATCAAGGTTCTCACCTTCATTACTATTTGTCATATGTTACCTTACACATGTACAGGTTCCCCAAATTTTCTCTAACTTCTTTTCATAACTCCCTAGATTACTGAAGACATCTGCCACATCATACCCTGTTTCCTACATCCTCTCTGTCACCTTCTACTGTACAGTGGCTCCTTATATCTGCTGCTGACTGGAAAGGTGCACTAGAGCAACGTGGTATGATGGTATGATTTTACAATACTCTTTTATGCCTGTTATACTTTTCAGACAAAATTTTTCTAATTGCTCAAGCATCTTTGTGGAAATATTTGACAATGGCAGTACTGTGGTGCCACCTACTGACAAAATAGAGAATTGCAGCCTGTCCATTCGCCACCACACCCACCCTTCACAGCTAGCCAGAAGTCTGGGAAGAAGGGTGGACAATTCCAGTGTTCAGGGATACTGAAGATCACCAGACATAAAGCACAGCTTATCGTTTTCATAAAGGGAAGTCTCATGTGGGATGATAAAAATATATATTTTTTATCTTATTTTTATGGTTTGAAATCTCTAGATAGAGACATACAAGCAAAAAGTAGATCCATGCCAGTTAATTTTTGGATTACCATCTTTCCAGGAATCAATCAATAAATCAATATACCTATAAATTTATTAAGCATGTAATAAAGTTTATAAGTAAGCTTGTAATACATTAAAATCTGTGGTTGATTAATTGTAAGATATCACTATATAGCTGTTAACAGCCTTTCTGTGACAATTATATTTACAACACCCTGGCTTTACATATGTATGTATCTGGAAACATACGTACACGTGTATGCAAATATGTATATATTTTTCTGATAACATGTGAATTCAAAATACTCTTACTAATTTTCAGGCTCTCCAGCATGCAGATTGCCATGGTTGAAATAGCTAGACTCCAATTGTGTTGTCTGTTAGTGGATATCAGCCAAAGCTGGAAGGTGAGACCAATAGGATAGAGGTTCCAGGCCATCCTGGGGAAGAAAATTGCAAGAGACTTCATGTTGACACTGAGCTACAATGGGATGCCCAAGATGTGAGGATCAAGTCCTGGTATAGCATGGGTAAAAAGTGAGATCCTATCCCAAAAGAGTTGGCGGCTTGGCTAAAAGGTTCATCACCTGCTTGGCATTTGAGAGTCCCCAAGTTCAAAGGCCAGTACTGCCAAAGAAAAATGTTAAGAAAGCAGTCCTGTCAGTGTGCAAATCCATTAGAAATGTGTAAGGCACTTACAGTAGTTAGAATCCTGTCTTCTCACAGAGGCTGGACATCTTGTCTTGTTTGCTGATTACATTTCAAGGGAATGACTTTCAGGCTTTGAGGAAGACACTTCTGAGGTGGTGTAGATTCATACAGTTGAGAAAACCTGGGGCATGGCTACGGTGGTAGCTTAAGGCCCTGAGTTCAAACCCCAACACATTAAAAAATGGAAAAAAAGAAATGGAAAAAGACACTGTGTTGTAAGCTATTTTTAGTAAATGCACTAAGACAGGAAGTCAGCTGTCCATGTCAGGTACTGGACAGAACAAACTGAGTTTATCAGGCAACCCTGAGCTTTCTCAGGTAGGCTTTTTGATAGAGAACCTTGGTCATCCTAGGACCTGCAGGTAGGAGCTTTTCTGGAGTTTGTGTCTGAGTACAGATATTTGGTAGGGTTCTTATATGCTCAGGGTTCTGCATTTCTCATGGGCATGAGCAAAAGTTTGTATTTCTTTCAGTCTTGGTATTCTCTGGAGTCCCACCCTAGTAGTATCCTCCAGTAATTCTTTTTTTTCCAGTAATTCTTTAACATTATGTCTAAACTGCATTTTTATTTCCTGTAGGTAACATAGGAAATACCCTGTCATTTCCTAGAATCAAAATGACAACTTTGTTTTTCAAATTTTGTATTGGAAAAAGGTTCAAACATTCAAAAGGGTAGAAAAGAATAAAAAGAAGACATCTTAGAATGACAGTGCTTCTAGGCCCTTTCCTTAGGCAGAGCTAGGAAGTAGTTGAAAAACAATAAACACTTTTTTGATGTACTGGAAATTGAACTTGGCCTAACACTTGCAAAGCAAGGGATCTACTACTTAGCCCTTTTCATTTTTTCTTTGTTTGATTGTTTTTGTGTCAGTACTGGGCTTGAACTCAGGGCTTGGACACTGTCCCTGAGCTCTTTTTCTCAAGGCTAGCCCTCTGTCATTTGAGCCATAGCTCCATTTCTAGTTTTCCATTAGTTAATTGGAGATAAAAAGTCTCACAGACTTTCCTGCCTGGGCTGGCTTCAAACTGCAATTCTCGTATCTCAGACTCCTGAGTACCTAAGATTACAGGCATGAGCTACTGGTGCCTGGCTTTTTACTTTTGTTAATTTTGAGATAGGATCTCCAGTTTATGACTGGACTAGCCTATACCACAGTCCACATATTTAGACTTTCTTGTAGCTATGGTTGAAAGATGAACATCACCATACCCAGCTTTTGGACCAGACTAGCCTCAAACCACAATCTTCCCAATGTCAACTTTCTAAGAAGCTAAGAATACAGACATGAGCCACTGACTGCCAATCAATGATGTTTTTTAAATTGGTATTTTCAATTCAAATTTGACTTTTTATGTTTCCAAATTATCTGCAAAGAAGAGGATTTTGGTTTAACAACAACATATAGCAAGGTATATTCAGGGAGCACTGATTTTGGTTCTGCTCTTCCTAGTTCATTCTTTCTTTTCTTTTTTTTATTGTGAAAATACTGTACAGAGAGGTTACAATTACATGGGCAAGATAATGAGTGCATTTCTTATCAAGCATTGTAGCCTACTCCTTTGTTTCTTTTCTATAGGCAATAGTTTGTGTATGTTTTGGTTTGTCTTCTTTTTTAATAAAAGCTGATTATACACATATTCTTATTTCTCATAGAAGCATTGTTGTAGATATTATTATATATATTTTCATATTACAGGAGATCAAGGACATGTGTTTTTGAGTAATAATACAGAATAGAGAATATCTTATCAATACCTTTATGCTTTGAATTTTTTATTTTGGTCTGACAAATTATGCCAAAGATACTTTGAGTTTTATTATTTTATTTCTCCTAATTTTCAATCATACCTCATATTGTGTTTCTTGAACTATTTATATATTGAATATCCAGGTTTCTTCTGGGTTATTATAAAAGAAAGCAATCCCTTTTTATCTTGTGAAGTCAACTATCGGGAATTCAATAGTACCATGAATGACTTCTATAACAGCATATGTAAAGACAAAAAGAAAACTATTCATCTTGAAAGACAGACAGGTATGTAGCTGAATGTTTATTAATAATTGTGTCATGAAAGCTTGTAATAGGTGTCCCTTCAGCTGTCCAACAGGCAGATGTGAATCTTTTAGGTGTACACTTCATTGATTTATTCATTTTTGTGCCAGTACCAGGACTTGATATCAAGGTCTGGGATTCTCACTGGCCTCTTTCACTCACAGCTGATGTGCTAGTATTTGAACCATAACTCCAGTCTGGCATTTACTTTGTCAGAGATAGAGTATTGTAGATCTTTGCTACCCATGCGGACTTCAACCCTGATCCGTGGGTCTCAGTCTCTTGAGTAGCTAGGTTCACAGTTGTAAGCCACTGGTGCCAGTTGAACTCCTGTAAAATAGACGCAATGGGTACTCCTGGCAATATAGAAATGAATCCATGATAAGTTAAACATTCTGTGGACATACCTTTAATTTATTTTCAGTTTAAAATTTTGTAGAATCTGGCCAGGCCCTGATGGCTCAAAACCATTACTGTCATCAGGCACTCAAGAAAGCCTGTCTATGGACTGAGTGCTAGGGGAAGGGTTTGGCACTAGTTATGTGGACTGATGGAAAAGACCATCTTCCCTGCACTGCACAGGGTCACCTTGAATCCCTTCCCTGGGAAGGCTGTCCCCTAGAAGCCAGAGGACCACTGAGTACCCTTACCTGCCTGCCAGAGGATGTTTGGGCAGTGTGTATGTGTGTGTGTGTGTGTGTGTCCCCAAATTGGCACCAATTTGTTCTTCTACACACCCTACAAGAGTGACATTTGTGTGTGTGTGTGTGTGTGTACTGTTGCTTAATACCATCTTACCCAATAAAGCAATCACTTGAGGGGAGGACATGGTAGCTTCTGCCTATAACTCCTTTGGAGGTATAGATTGGGGGGATAAACTGGGGCAAATTTAGCAAGAGTCCATCTCAAGTAATGAACCAGACATGATGGCATGGACCTGTAATCCCAGGTACACAGGAGACACAGTGGGACAATTGTGGACTGTTGTCTGTCCTATGTAACAGTATAAGACCAGGCCATCTGGTGCATATAAAAAGTCTCTCAAAAATACCCAGTACAATCCAGGTACCTGTGGCTTGTGGTTATAGCCCTAGATAATTAGGGTTGTAGTTTGGAGCTATTAAAGGCAGATAAATCTGTGAAACCCTTATCTTCAATGACTACCAAAAAGTCAGAACAAGATGTGTAGTTCAAGTGGAGGAGTGTCAGCAGTGTGCAAAAAAAAAGTCTAGTGAAAAGGTTGAGGCCCAGTGTGCAAGCTCTGATACTGCCACAAAGCAAACAAAACAAAATAAAATATCCAACACAAAAGGAGGCAAGAGGGCTGGATCAAGTAATAGGTCACTGGCCAAACAAATGCCAGTCTCTGAGTTCAAATTACATTATAAAATTAGAAATGAGCTGGATACTCATGCCTCACACCTGTAATCCTAGCTATTCAGGAGGCTGAGATCTGAGGATCTCAGTTCAAATCAACCCAGGCAGGAAAGTGTGAGATTCTTATCTCCAAGTAACCACTAGAAAACCAGAAGTGGCAGCATGGATCAAAGTGGTAGAGTGCTAACCTTGAGCAGAAATGCTTAGAGACATAGTCCAGGCCTCAAGTTCAAGCCCCACAGCCGGAAATGCACACACACGCGTGCGCGCGCACACACACACACACACACACACACACACAGACATGAAAACAAAGATGGAATATTTGAGTGTGACATGTTTAGAGATATGTGTTATCAGCTACAAACATGCAGATTTCATGTTCTTTTATTTAAAAAAAAAAACAAAAGGCAAATGTGGTTTGGATATGAAGTTATCCCAAAGGCTCGTATAAAAATATTGGTTCTCAGTGTAGGAATGTTCATTATGCTTTGAGTTATAAGTGCTCTGACCTCATCACCTGATGGATTCAGGATTTGATGGTTTTACTGAGAGGGGATAGAAATTAGGAGGTAAGGCATGGTTAGAAAAAGCAAGTTTTGGGGAGGACATACTTTTGAAGGATACATCCTTTCCACAGCTGCTTCTGTTTTTCTGCTTCCTGTCCACCATGACATAATCAGCCACCTCTTTCACCTGTGTGATTTTCTGCCTCAGCATAGGCCAAAGCAATGAAGTCAACCAACCAAAAATTGGAGACTCTGAAACCATGATCCAATGTAAGTCTTCCTTTCATCTGAATTATTTCTCTGAGGAATATGTCCCACCTATGACAAACTGACATTTGTTGAAATGGTAATTTTTAAAATTAAGGCATTGAATAAAATATTAAAATGAACTTCCTCTATGTACTTTTATTTGTGTCTGTGTGCTCATCCTGAGGCTTGAATTCAGGGTTTAGGCACTGTCCCTGAGTTTTGTGCTCAAGGCTAGCACTCTATCACTTGAACCAAAGCTCTACTTCCATCTTTTTGGTGGTTAACTGGAGATAAGAGTCTCATGGATTTTCTTACCTTGGCTGGTTTCAAACTACAGATCTCAGATGTCAGCTTCCTGAGTAGCTAGGATTAGAGATGTGGGCCACCAGTGCCTAACCTCTAAGTATTTAAAAAAATATTTATTGTGATTAAGTGATTACATAAATTTTACAAAGTTCACAGTATTGTGAGATAGTGATAAAGTTACAAACATAGTAAGCTTCATGAGGAAAATTGTCATTATTGTGGTCTGTAAAGTTTGTGAATTCTCTGAGCTTTGATAGTACAGC